ATTAGTTGATGCAGCATTTACTATATCAATACTGATGTGCTATAAGCCTTCAAATGGACCCTCTGCAACAATTCACCACTATGCTGAACACTTAGACCTCAGCTGTACCTGTCAATAACTCTTACAACATCAGTAACACATCTTTCATCTCTGGATAGAGTACAACCGACTCCCAAAAATAATTTCATCAGGTTGGTAGAACAATATTCTATAGGATATTGGGTTTTCTTATAGTTATACACAAGCAGTAGATCAACTTGTCTACATTTCAATGTCTGTAAGACACCTTCCTCAGAGCTTCTGACTGGAGTACTGCTTCTCACCAACCCCAGTATGAACCAGGACATGGGGGGATACAAACTTGGGATTGTGTTCTTACACAAAAGCGCCACCAACTTTGACTACAATATAGCAGCAAGAAGCAGAACTCAAGTCAGAAGCAGTGAGGAAGATGTCTGATAGACACCCACATGTAAGGTGAGAGAAGGATTGATTATGTAAAAATAAATTGATGAAATTATTTACAGGAGTGGTTACAACAGAGATTCCATGCCAAGCCTATGTCTCCATGTGTGTGTGTGTTGGGGGCGATTCACCCCAGTGTTATCTGGGAGCCCCCTCCAGGCGGCTGCATCACCTTGGTGCTGGGCCTCTCCGCGGGGGTCTCCCCGTCCAGGGGGTTCTCATCTTCACCGCAGCCGTTAGCCGTCCCGTTGGTGGTGTGGGGAGGGTCGAAGTCAGGCGAGGCGTAGGTTTCACCAGTGATGGGGTTGACAAGAGCAGCTGTGGAACAAACAGTAGGGAACAGTGAAACACACGGTCGGGTAAAACAGTTTTCTTTTTACTCAACCGGTATAGACTCCCATCTGCTAAAAGTCTATCAAACACCTTCCTCAGAGCTTCTGACTGGAAGAGGATACAAACTTACCCACAAACTTACCCATGTTTGGGATTGTGCTCTCGCTGCAAAAGCGCCACCTACATCGACTACATATAGTGGCGAGAAGCAGAACTCCAGTCAGAAGCTCTGAAGAAGGTGTCTGATAGACATCGAAATGTAATTAGATGAGAGTCTTCACCGCTTGTGTAAAAAAAAAGGAAAACCCTAATATCTCACCTAGAACATCATTCATGGAGTTACATTTGTAGTGATTAATCATTGTCATTAAACACATGTCTACTGTGAATGCTATTCATTCTGTCTAACATATCAACTAGTCAACCTGCCTTAACATTCAAATTAAACTTGAGAGGTGATGTCAGGAAAACAAAACAGGAAGGAGGGACAAGGGAAGCAGTGAAGACAATACAATACTTATAAGTTATATGTAATACTTTCAGAGGTTATACTTGTGTAGTGACTCAGGCTCTACATAGACAACTGCTTAAAATCATATCAAGGGTGTGCCAAAATATGCTGGGCCATGCAGGTATACATGTACCAAGAAGTAACTAATCAAATCCAAATTGATTTTGGCACTCCATGAATAGTTAGTTCATTTTCTGTTGATTTTTTAGATATTAAATGTCAGCTGATCTTCGACAGTGTTAAAATGAGATGGTGCAAGGCCTTTTCTTTAGTGGCACTATAAATAGTATAATGACTATATGTAAGTGAAAATGGAGCGACAGTCAAGACAGCAGAGAGGCATCTGAAAGAAATGAGCATCAGTGAAAAAATGTCCAATATTTCTTTTTTCACTGATGTGCATGTGTGTCTCCTTTATCTTTGTGAGTGCTTAGCTGTAATATACCTTCATTATCCAGTTAACTAAATGGACACAATCTTGAGTTTCAAATCTAAATCTCAGGATATGATAAATTTGTTTCTAGCATCAATATCAATTTTATCTGGGATTTATCATGACTTTGTCATTTTGCTGCAGGTAGACAGCCATGCCAGATGCCAGTGTCTAAGTTCACATACAAAGTTCCTGCAATGGACCTATCACATTATTACGTCACAGTTTACCTATTCTAAAGAACATTCTAGAACGGTCAGTTTAAGAATAAAGATCATTTCAAAGTTTGATTTTTGCTGGGTCTAGTTTTGTTGACACAGCATTACATGCCGTAATGGGTGATTTAGTTGTGACAGTAGACGAAAGTAGTACTGTATAAGGGCCTTATATTATACGCTACTCAAACACACACCGCGTTACGCACCCCTGTACAATATAAACGTCGATTGACCGGCATTATTGTGGTAAACACACTGTGACGTACTATAATGTTATAGGTCCATTGACAGAAAAATGAATGCTGGCTACATTGTAGAGCCCTGATCTCATATTGCCAGGACTTTACATTACTGAATCTTCTTACTCTTGCTAGATCTCAGTTTTTTTTCATTTTCTTTTTGCTCATAGTCATACACACATTCTACACATGTGATAACTCACAACATGTACATCTGTACTTCTAGACTTGTTTACATCCCAAATTAAATCTATATCATGGTCATACCCATGCACAGTCAAACTTGCCAAACAACCACCTCTATAAGCCGGCCATCTGGCCATAACAACTGCCTTTTCTGGTTCCTGATTCCTACAGCCAACCACGAAGCGACCGCAAAGGGAACTATTTGGACATTGCCGAATGTCTAGATCTTTTTACAATGACCATGTCATTTTCAAGCATGCAATGGTAATATGCATTGCTCCAAAACAGACAAGAAACCATAATTTTTCCAGGCTAAATGAATACATTGTTTATACATGTAGTTACCGTCTGTCTATCTATTTGTGAACAACATAACTCTTTAACATTAAGCTTTATACATATTGTTATGAAACTTTGTATGTGGGTAGGTCTTGATGAGACCTAGAGGGTCACAAATTTTGGATGGTAAGAGGGAAGGAGTGATATGAGTTTGGGCCCCCTAGCGGCTTGTTCTGGAACTGCAGGAGCATTTGTTGAAAATCTTCGAAGGAGGATAATTCAAGAACCGGTTGACGGATTGTCGTGATTTTTGGTATGTGGGTAGCTGAAGTGATGCTTGACATAATCAGATGACAATTATGCAAATCAGGAGCTAATTTGCATAATTAATGGGAAATTGTTATAACTCCATAGTTGTGATTGCTGTGAATCTCATACTTGCCACATTTGGAAGTTAAGTGAACATCAATAAATATAATTTATTCAAATCATGACCCCATATGCATAATTTATAAGGAAGTGCTAGAATAGCCTTTTTTGTTTAAGATAAGGCTGTCATTGGGTGGAGAATATGATCAACTGATATAATCCATGCAAATGAGGCTCATATTTGCGAAATCAATGATTACAATTGTATAATTCGTCAACCAGAAGGGTTATCATCATTTGGCAAAGGTGTGAGGTCGTGGAACTCTTGTTAGCTCTCTAGTATGTACATGTGAACAAGGGTGAACAAGGGTGAACAAATATCTGACCACGCAGTCATCACTGTAAATATCTGACCACGCAGTCATCACTGTAAATATCTGACCACGCAGTCATCACTGTAACCCAAAACATGTAAGTGGCTCTCACGAGCCTTGTTTTGAGGTGAATTCTGAAGTAAAAAAAAAAAAAAAATGTAACATGTTTGATGTACAGTGTACTTATTAGTCTGTATCAAAGGACATGAGCTTTGGAATCTGTATCTGTCTTGTCTTGTTGTCAGGCTTTTTGTATAAGACAACTGGTTGTCTCAGAAGACCACTTTTCCTCTTCTGGGTGATTGTCTTAGACAAGTTTGACTGTACTAATTTCTACTTACTTCCATTTCATTCACTGTACTGATACATGCAAATTGGTCAAAATTAAACCTTTACATTATTTATCGCAATGGTAGAGCTGATACTAAGAGATAACATTTTCCATTAGATTATATGTGCAAATATACTTGGATAATTCTGCCCAAATCGTTATGAATCTGTGCGGCCAGTGCAGAGATCTAGATGAGCTAAATGAATGAATTACCATGATGTAGTGAATGGGCAGACCAGTCGGTTGTCAGGGTTGATGCCGGAAAGAGAAAGAATAATAAATGACTCAAGAGTCCAACACAACTGCCATGACACTAATACATGTTCTCATGCAGGGAATAATAATGGCACTTTCCTACATCTGACAGTTACTGTAATTCACTTGATGTTCACGGTAGCAAAGGTTCGCAGTCTGAGAAAAATGAACTAAATGTTCACAGTGGTGGCATGTGCAGAACAAAGTTGCGAATCATTTGTTCACGGTAATCATAAGTTTGTGGTACAGAAGTGACCGAGCAAACCAGGATCGTAAAAGTACAGCGAACAAATCGTGAATTACAGTATGCCATCATCATTCATCATCATCATCATTATGTAGGGCAGTGTAATTTAATGTTTGTTTGTTGCATATCTCCTGAATGATATTAATATTAGATTTACACTGACTGTAGCATGACATGCAGGTCTTCATACATGCAGCAAGCTTCAGACTTTGAGACGTACGTTTCATACTAAAAACTGTTCAGAAATCATTGCCATTATTTATTTTATACTTCATAGCTGGTAACAGTCAATGCAGCAAATAAAAATCTGATGATACCATTACAAGTGACTTCAAACCTCACACTAGTTCCAGGTTCCCCTAACCAAATGACCGTGCCCAGTTCTTGTATACATCACAATGTCAGGATACAAGTGAACGGACAAACCTGGCTGGACTTAGAGTACAGTATCGTAGCCAAGAAGTCTGCAGAGGTGCCCGTGTAGATGAATAATGTAAGTAGCTGAGAGAACAAACTAAAAGACAGAATAACAAGTACCTGAGGGTAGAGCAAACGGTATTGCACATCCCGGTGTGACTGTGGACTAGAGCTATGCCCCAGCCACCAGCAAGTTCCCATTAAGGCCTAGGAAAAAAATGGTGTGTTTCCTATTTCAGTCCTGAAAAAAATTGGGTAGCTATATATATGGAATTTTATTTTTTTTTAGACTTTGGCAATCTCTAGTGATGCAACTTATACAATAGAGTTTAACAAAGTGGAACTTGCATGATGACACTTATATTTTCCATGTCAGAGTTGGAAAAACTGATTGAACAATGTTTCACTAGCACT